CGTTTTTCTCAATCTGAAGTGGATAGCTACCACACGCACTTATATCTAAATGAGGAATGATGGCCGTGCGCTGGTAAGTATTTCTCATATAGACATTTGCTATTTATATTCATTTTAAGTGCATTACATCATATTCTTATTGAATGTAATGCTACTTATTTAATAAATTGGACTGTCCTTAAATATCTTCCAAAGTTTTCATTTGAGAACTGTGAAGACATATTTCAGATTATGAAAATCGAAAAAGATCAGGCTGCTAATCGCTGCACCACTTAAAGTAACAAAAGCATATTCGGTTAGATCCAACCTTTAGAGTGGGGGAGCATCTAGGAAAATAACTAAACATTCCATGTGTGCCTAGAACGGTTGTATGCTCCTATATACACATTTAGCGTTTTCCAAATTTCAAGCTGACAGAAATTCAAGCATATAGCGGAAAGTTTCCGATAAAGTCTATTGAGACAATTTGCAGCATACGCTTTAACAATAATAGCACAGAAAAACTTTGATTTTCACACATTTACATGAGGATTTGATACAGTCATACTAGTCCATTCCTGTGAGGAAAAGCTATTGTGAACAATTAATAGTTGCAGGTCCGGCAGTCGGTTTGCGATGCGACTCATAGGTATTGTCATTCGTATGGCCGGCATGGGTGCCATCTGGCTCATTTACATAAGAAACTGATTGGCTCATTCGAACAATCTTCCTACACAGCCACATTCGATATGGTCGAATAAAGTAGAACGATGACATTGGACTCAATGCAGGTATGAAGCAAACGAGTGCAAATGTGGCAAACTCTAGGAGGGGATGATGTAAAACCTCCAGTTGCCCCAGCGAAAATGTTAAAACTGCGAAAAAGTAGAAAATGGGTATGCAAGCTTGGTAGGTAATCGCCTGAAAGAAGGCAACTATTATAATTGGAATTTGTACTCAAAATCTTGTCACTGATGACTTACATTGAGTAATTGCTGGTGCAAACGGCGGGTATGTTCCGACATACGCTTCTCCGTCTTTAACCTCATTGCAATGCCTCGTCTCAATAGCAAAATAGCTACGTAGACGGGAGTTACGGGAAGAGTCATATGCAGTATAGTGCCTAGCACTGAGAATGAAAAAATGCTCAAATGCCCGCTCACACATTCTTTACTCGTATCATAACCGAATACTTGAGTTATTCTCGCTTTCACCAAATCTTCCGGATCGTTTGTAAAGGAGAAAGCGACCTGAATAAAACTGTGTATCAAGAATCAGTATTATTTGTAAATCAATTACATCCAACTGCTAAAAAAAGGGCGTGGTGTGACCTTGCTC